GTGTCTGATCTAATTGTTGTTTCCATTGAACCGTCAACAGCCACGTAATTGATAGCGGCCATTTCTGTAGATTATCGCTTTTGGAGGTTTTTGGGTTTCCTTTTTTTTTTTTTTAAATTCCGTTTCTCGTTCTGGTCGCTACGACTTATACGCGTATACGCGCTATATACCTACTGCCACCAATCCTACTGACCTATACTCGTCCCAGGACAAAAAAAAAAATTGTTTTTTACGGTGATTTTGTATCTAATATATACGCTTACACTAAAGTTTATGATTCCGATTTTCTACAGACTCTAACCCTATTAAACGCATAATATCTGTCCTATTAATTTTGTATACGCGGCGTACACTGTTTGATTGCAGGTCTTATTATGCGTTGTATTTTTTGTTTCCCGTTTTATTCGGACCCTATCGGCGTGCACATATATAAATATATAAACGACGACTGCGGACGGCCATTGTTCGGTCTCCGCGCGGTATAATGTTTTGCGGTTTTCCGACCGTCGATTTATATACACACACGCGCGACACTCGTTTAAAGGTGATATATCCTGTTGTACGGTATATAAATGGCCGGACGACGTGTGCGCGCGTGTAATTAATCTCGGAACAAGGGGGCGGACGCGACTTTTCGGGTCTCGTGCTCTGTCTGTCTTTAACGCTTTTGCTTTTGTCGTCACCCACCACGCGATTAATATAATGTGTTAAAGATAAAAAAAAAAAAATAAATAATAATAACAATAATAAACTCACCCCCTTCGCCGCAATTAATCACGCGTGTACCACTTCAGCGCAGGGGCGACGGCGACGTTGAACCGTAATGGAAGTTTCTCGGGACTCCGCGCGTACCTACGCGTCTCTACGACTCTACCACTCGATTTACATAATATATAAAGAACTACGCTATCGTTTCGAATATAATTAATATACGTGAGTATATTATGTGTACACACTACACAGTGATTTATAACGCTACGTCTGCGCGTCTGCGGTTAACTTAAATTCTGCACTTCCCGCAGTGTTTCGGATAAAATAAAACGTTGTCGAACGATGAGACGTTAATGCTACCGTCATCATTGCCACGCGATATGTCGATGTGCCATAAACTCCTTTCTCCCCGTTTCAAAGTGTGGTGGCCTCTCGAAATCCTTTTTTTTTTACGAGCATTAAAATGATTTCGCAAGTACCGGGAACGGCACGCGAATATAATCGTTACTATACCTAGTTACTTATCCGCCCTAAAAAACCCCGCGTCCACCTGATTATTATATGCGATTTAAAACCGATTGAAATGTTTCATATCGTTTAGTTGACCGTGTTGTTTTCGTCTCTTCTACCGTCCCACTTGAAAATCAGAAAAATGAACACAAAATAAAACATATCACACAGCACTCGTCATAGTATAGTCGATTTTGTTTCTTTCTTTTGCGATAACACTACGTGAATATTTTTACATTTCGTTAGAAATTTTATACATGCGTCACACATTTAGTGTATATAGCTATATAGGTGTACAGAAATTATAATATTGGCACTACAGAAAAACGAAGGCATCATATCAAATAGAAAAAATGTATTTTATCACCATATATATATATATATATACATTTTATTATAATAAACGTTATATAACTGAACACAAATTGTGAGCAAATATTCTGTTTGAAAAAAAAACTATGTATGATTGCGTTTTAATTATTATACTACATTAAAATGTTTCTTTTAATGTCATTAATTTACATTTAATAATTTAGTTAAAAGTAATACCTTTATCCTTATTAAATCACGGTCGATTATTAAACGTTAGAATTGACTTTTATGAATTAAGTGCATATAATATAAAATAATAATTAATAACTTATGTATTAATAGCAAAATAGTATCTATGTTTTATTTTCCTTGAAATCAGTTTAAAATATTATGATTAATATGATGATCGCAAAAAATTATGTAACCTTAATATCAAGGTTCATTTTATGAAGTATATATGCGCCTCTTCTGACATAAATTGTTATATTATTATTATTTTTTTTTGCAAAATTGTATTAATAATACTCTCGTAGAATAATGGCAATAAAACAAAAACCGCTTTGTGTCTTAAAAAAGGAGTTCAACTTTTGGTCGGAACACACTTTGGTTTTTTTTTAATAATAAGTGCCGTTCGTTTTGTAACATATATGTTATATGTGATATTGTATATACTTCGTGTAGTATTTTCCATTGTATACCACGAACAATAATAATATAGTCACTTGATGTCATGGCGGTGTACACCACGCACAAAACTATATCATATACATCGTCGCCGTCAAGTAAACTATAATACGCTTGTAAGTTGTGCGTGCTCTGCGTTCAATAACACCACGCGACACGCGTATACTACGTACGTACAATATTAAACGTAATACATAACATTATATCGGCTGTAAAAGATGTATTATAATACACTGACGCAGATCCTACAACGGTGGTGAAACAACGTTATAATATAGACGTGGTACCGATAAGAATTAAATTAATATTTTTAGATATTTAGGTATTTTTTTTTACAGGACTGTTATTCTCTCGAACACTTGATTTTTTATTATTATTTTTTTGTTTAAGTGCGGAATTACGTCCTACGCGCCACGATAATCTTGTGATGTAAGCTATTATATAGCTGTTGTACTATTGAACTATCAATGTAAGCGTGTTTTGAGATTTCGTTGAATTCCGTAAACAGTAAAAAATAAAAATCATTAGCCATCAAAATATTATTATTATTGTCGTTTCACTTATATACCTTTATACATACAAAATAAACAATTTAAGTCTTTTATCTCATTTTCAATGAATACAATTTATCGTTATATTTTTTTTTTTTGTCAATAAAAACGCCTACTTACATATTATAACTTAATGGTAATGTTTGATTATGAATAAAATTAAAAAAAAAAAACTCTATGGGATCTTTCAAATCTCTTACAGCCATACACTATACTCATAGTGTTAATTAAAAAAATTATCATCGTCGCATATTCTTGTACATGTACATAATATGTGTTACGTTTATTACTTTCTTTGTCTTCTATATACTACTAAACAAATTTTAATGTAAATTATATGTCATTAGTAAATGTTTATAATATGTTTATTTTTATAAAGTTAAGTGTTTCGAAGCAGTTGATTTTTTTCTAAAACCATTTTCCATTGAATAAATAAATAAAATATATAATATACATGAACTTATTGTGAAAAGCCCACTACAATGGTGTGCTCGACTAAAAAAGTTTATCTACTTGATATTTTAAATGGAAAATTTTTCGAAACGTCATACGAAACTCCACAAAAACTTTATTGGCTTGTTTTTTTTAAACACATTTTAACACTTCAATTGGTACTTACTATTTATTAAAGTTGTTTATGTCTCTGATATTAAATAATTAAAATATTCTTGCTATATTAAAGTCAAAATCAAAAATTTATTATACTCAAATATGCCGGACGTACAGTCCACGGATTAGAGAATATTAACTTTCAAAAATAGTGATAAATTTTTGATGATTGATAGTTGAACATCATTTGAAATGGTTAATAATCAAAAATCAAAATATCACCAACAAAAACCATTTCCCCATTATAAATTGACTTATTGGCGTGCCTACTTATACATTTTAAACCCCTCCATAACTTCAATTCGCAAAACTCAAATCTGTAAATGACAACTCAAGTATATATACCTTCCGAATCATTTCCGTCGTTTACTCCTTTTTCGGAAACTTTAATGGTCATGCACCGCAGCAATGATTGCGTGAAAAAAAATATAACTATAAGATTTCACTTGGGAATCTGAAGTACCTAATTCATTTTAATCGAAACAAATTTAATAAAAACCCGCCCATGTTAAAGTTATCTTTATTTATTGCCAATATGAGGTTTTTATGTGCGATGTAATAAATGTTCATACTATACGATCCATACGTGTGTATATAAAATGTTTATGACAGTCATATAGAATTTACCGTAATTCATTATTGTAACTGTTACATTATGAATGGAAATTGATGATACCGATTACTGACAGACTTATCATATGTTTATATAATAAGAACTTGTGACAGTAAAATCATGGTTAGGATAAGTATAGTCTACAAACCATAATTTTAACTTCACATAAAAATTTAAAAAAAGACTTTTACGATTTTTTTTTTAAGCAAACAATAATTTTTTTTATAGGTGTTAATTATATTTATTAGTCATACTATTGAACATATTATACCTACCTGTAGAGCGCCTATTGGTACTCACTTCGTTAACATATAATATCTATACGATGAGTCGGCCACGGCATTACAACTCATGCAGTAAAAACCCCGAAGCGCCTAGATATTCGTGTTTCCGAGATCCAATCATCGAATTTACGTAATCAGTAATCTCAGATATTTATCGTACGATCCCACATTGCCCACGGCTGGACAACTAAATAGTAATCATATGAATGTATGAGTGGATAAGTATTATTATAGACCAACGATAAACAAATACAGTTCTAATAATACTATATCTTCCATCGGATATTACATTCGTCTTATACACACTATATAATACAGTTATTTATTAAAATAACATAACAATTATTAATGAATTCGTCTTTGGCTTTATTTTTCTGTCCGTACAATTTGATAGGTATCGAGCGAGACAAAATAATAGTTTCCAAAATGTGTACGCTGTAAGTCTATGCGTCACTGCTGGAGTCAAAGGAAATATGTTACGACGGAGAATCTTTAAGTTTATAGGTACTCGACACTCATCGATGTTACAACGTACGATCGAGTTTCACTTAAAAATACCTATCTTTATGTACTTGACATGGTTGAGTTTAGTAATATTATGTCCTGCACGTGCGCGCGTGTAAGGGATAAGTTCGATTCGGTGTCCGTAGTGCGCTAGTGTAATATAATTTTGTATAAAACTCATAAAAGTATAATAATTATTATATTTATTGCTTTCGTTTATAGCGAGGAGTTGATGTTGCACCAGGTCACGGACGGAATCCATTTCATGCAAATGATATACGGCACAGGAATGACGCTATTCGACTGCGAGTACGTCAAGGAACCCGAGACGGCCACGAATTTCGTTCGGGAATTTTGGAATGAGGAACAAGGCAAAAATAACACGGTTGGGTCCTTAACTAAAGAATATGCCTCCATGGTAAATTTCAAACATTTGAAAAAAGCTTGTCAAAAAAACCATAAGAAAACTAGAAGAAGACTTGCAAGCGAGTATCAGCAGCAGCATCACGAGAGCATCACTAACGTGGTCGGTAACGACAGGTCAGTATATTTACATTATTTATTATTTAACAACTATATAACATATTAAACTGGACGCATTTATTAATAATAAAATATATTATATTATTTTCCTTACAGTTACACAGAATTTACACATCGGTAGTTTTTTTATTTCAGTTGCGTTATACATGAAAAGTTGTTTTTAAATATATATTTTTGAGTTGTACTCAACTATACCTACACATAGTTACGTTAGGATTATTAGTCTTTTAAATTAAAATTAAGTGTATTTTTATTTTGCTACACACTCTACAAATGAACCAGTTAGATTAGGTTACTTCATTTTAAAGTTGTTCTTCGTATTTAGTTTTAAAAACGATGGTGAAATCACCCGTTTAATGGGTATAATATAATAGACACCTATTCAAAATCGAGCTTTTATTGCGTGCTCTTACTTTTTATTGAAACTGTTGTTTGTTTTTTTTTTTTTATTACTGTCGATGCTCTCGTTTGAGTTTATAAAATAATTTTACTTGTTGAATTAGTAAGGAAAATTTAAAAACGTCCAAATCGTTTTTTTTTTTTTAAAGACTCTGAATTCTGAAGATAGTATTTTACTTTTAATCCTCCAAGGTTCAGCCGCTAATCACTTTGACTAATATATACCATAAAACATACATATTCAATGGAGACAGTTTGAACATTATTTATATAACGATACGTAGCAATATGCGCTTATACTTATTCTACAGCTGCAACATACATAGTTTTTGATATATTTTCTGCAATATTGATTATTTGTATGATAGTTTGAAAGTCTAATAATGATATCTCGATTTGCACGTTTATGATTATGATTTTTGACATATTGCAATGCATCACCCATTTCATATTACCTACAATATAATATTTTTTATTCTCGTGATTTCAGCAAACGCAGAAAGAGAGATCTGATGTCCGTGTTGAGAGTTCCTGGCACAAAGTGGTGTGGAAAAGGGCGTTCGGCGAAATCGTACAGACAACTCGACGGGTTCGGTGGAGCGGATCGGTGCTGCAGAGTCCACGACACGTCTTGTCCGATGTGGATTGGCGCTTTGCAAAGTAAATACGGTCTGTTCAATTGGAGGCTGAACACGCTCATGCACTGCTCGTGCGACCGAAGGTATTATATATTAATAACATTTTGTCTACACTTAAACATCAATGCCTACGTCATCGATCAATATTAATGATTCATAAACGATTATTATCGCAGCACAAAATTAATTATTCTTCATAATATAACAGGTGTGAAAAGTGAAAAATTATTAATTGACACATACCTACGCACCACAGTCGTGGTCGTACTTAATAGATTTATCGTATTCAACCCCTTCAAGATATTTTCTTCAAATCACCGTGCCCCATTAATAATTACATATAATATTTTCTAACAATAGGCAGGTATTTCGTCTAAAAATTATATTATTATATATACACCATTTATTTATTATTTGCTTGATTTATTTTATTTTTTTTAATATTAGGTACGTATTGTGTATTGAAATTGAGACTTGGGTACAGTGTAATAATCGTTCGTGCTTGAATGTATAGTAGTACCTTTGAAAAAACTATAAAGGTACACAAGTGTAAATCTATCCAATATCCATCTACTTGTTCTAAGTCCACTTCCATATTATTATTATTCCATTTTATTATGCAAAAATAACCGTTTTTATGTGTATACCTACTCAATTTAACAAAATTTTAAATCTTATTATTATTGCATAACAATCATATAATATAATATGAACTTTTGTATTAAATATTTTATCAAAATATATTTTTTCGGTACTTCAATATAAATTAGGTTTTGCATAAAAAATATTTATTTGAAAAATATCAATACGAGATTTTTTTTTTTGATTCAAATGGTCAATGTAGATAATTCCCATTTAACAAACACCTACTACGTCTATACAATAAATTGCAGTAAAATTTTGTATTAAAATTTTCTTGGATTTTTATGTTTATAGTTAATTATATACTCGTAAATAATTATTGTTACCATTTCAATTTAAACAAATTCAGTGTTTTTATAAAATTATTGTTAATTGTTATTGAGATGCCTTGCAGATTGCTAAGTATAATTTTGTTAGAAGAAATATTGTTCAACTAATAAGAATACTCATAAAATTTTAATTGGTTTTAATTAAACCATTAATCATTATTCACTCAATTAATACTCACTGATTGTACAAGTTTATTTTAATTGAACATTTAATAGATAGCGTTTTTATATACTTTTTAAATTATTCAGGTTTACCGGTACCATTTTAGAACCAAACTTCTGTTTAAAACACTTGCAAATTACTAACGAATTCGAAGGTATTATTAAAAATATTTACATTTTTTTTTTTGCGTAGGCATATTGACATAGTGTAAAATGATTTCCACTGGGGAAGCATGTTTGAGGTGATGATAACTATGTTGACTTTGTTGTTCAGTCTACCCACTGTTTCAGACAACTTCAATATTTGTTGACTTGTTGGACATTCATGATTCAATTCGAAAAAAGCCTAATTGACTGTCCTGTCTAAGAACAAATATTAATTTTTTTTTCTTTATTTATTTACCAAAAATAAATATTACGTCTTTGTCGGTCGTATCTTTGATGTTTCATCGTGTTACACGGGGTTAAGCTTGGGTCCATCTGCATCTCTTAATAGAAAGAAAACGTAATAAGTAATAACATTTTAGATCAATATATGCTAAAAACCATAATCGAATAATCTACGGTGAAGTTAGCATAAATTATTTTATTTTTATAATAATGGATTAACCGGTTTTTCAAAAAGCGTAGGTGCCACGGTGATATATATTTCTATAATGTAATATTATCATTTCTGGACCCGATGGGCATTGAACAAAATTAGAAAAATCTTATTTAAAGTATATAATAACTATTTTCATCGTGTACCTACTTGAATAATGTGCATATTCATTCACAAAATTGTAAAACAATTAACCATATATCTGTTTAACGATTTTCGAAAAGTAATAACTTAAAATATTTTATTTACACTCTTAAATTAAATGAGAACTATCTTGAGCTTTAATGCCATGTTGTATTAAATTATTAAATTTTTAAAATTGATAACGTAATATTTGATTATTAATTAGTATATTTTATCGTTAAACACAAAACTAACTTGAATTATATATTCGTATAAATATAAATAATGTATATAATATATATTCGCAATATTATAAACCTATATATAACTATATGACGTGTATATCTTTTTTTGTGATATATATTTTATTTCTATTATTATGTATACACATTAAATTTTAGTCATTGCATATTTTACACCTGTAGGTTGAATGTAGGTACATGAATCACACGAATTATCTTTTCAAATTCTATTGAAATGAGAAAATTAGAATACATTTTAAATATTGTTTATTGTTTATGGATAGTGTCATTAATGGATAACTTTTCAAATCAAATCTCGATGTAAAAATATTATGCGTATCTTATTATTAATTTATTAACGCGATTAATGAACAATAGAACGTATATGTATATTCTACCCTTAACACTTACAACAATTGTATCCTTTGTAAGTTGTAAGTATAGGTTGTATATTACAAATAAAATAAAAAGATTATTATTTACAAATGTTCATCTCTAGAGTATAAGTCACCATACCATAATAATTTGGCATTTATTCAAAAATAAAACGAAATCTTGGAAAAATATTCAAGTGAATACTCAAGGTTAATTTGATATCACATCCGTTTTGATATTTTAATGACATTATTTTTATTATTTGATTGTGATTTGTGATATAGCATTTTTTCTCTTAATTTCTCAATTATTATATATTACCATGACGTTAGGTTTTTTATCCTATTAATATTTTTACTCTTAACATCCTACTATTTTATACTTAAATAATAATATGAATAGTAATAATACTGCATTGGAACGTAATATATTATTGTAACCTATAGGTTAGTTAACAATGTTTAAACCGTTTTATTATTATTATTATTATTATTATTATTACATGAAATGGTCGACGAAATGATTTAGTGTCTTCAGATAAAAAATAAAATTATAAAATAAGAATAAAATACTCGTACGAATGAATCTGTCCCATTAGCCACGGTCTCGCGGGGCCTGTTTTCTAAATTTAATTTAAATAGTCTATCCCGCTAGGAGAACGAATTTAATTGTATATACTTCTTTTCTTACCCTCCTTTCAGTATTTATTAGCCACTGACATAAATTATTATAAGCCCTACATCTTTGTGTACAATAAATATTTTTATTTCATCAAAATCGTATTTAAAGTATATGCTTGCACATCATCAAAGTGTGGCTTGTTGTCGTCTAAAGATAAAAAATAATTATATTAACGTTTTTCAATTCAAACAATAAAAATGTAGAACATGAAAATAAATTCCGTTATAATGATGTTATTATTTTTCTATTCTATGATATTTTTTTCTATACTCTCATGATATAGAATCATAAACTTTATATATTAGCATACAAAGTGCTGTATTTTGTAAGTTTATTCTTCTGTATTTTTATAAAGTGTCACACGCATATGATACAAAACACAAGACGTATCATATCTTGTAAATTTCTCACACGTGTACAAATTCTATTTTTATCGTTAATTTTGATTTTATCTTTAAATATGTAGGTAAAATTTACCTGGTACATTTTTAAATAATTATTAATTCATTATAATATTTTGATAAACCTAGTTTTATTATTGAAACGTGATTTACATTACATGACAAAAGTATTCGAATGAATATTGAATTTAAATAATTAACAATAATTTAAGTAAAATAAAATAGGTATCTATAATATCTACCTATTATGTTTTTATATCAAATAATTTATGTACCATAAATTCTAATAATAATAATACCATATTAAGCATTTATTTACCATAATATTATATAGTGACAATTATGTGGTAGTATTCTATATATTTGAAATTTTATCGTGTGTATTGAATATTGTCACTATCAGTTACCTCATAATACTTGTAGATGTACATTACCTACATCGCTGTATGCGTACCCCAAAGGTGATAATTTTATTTTTGTCGTATGAATATTTTTATATTTAGGAAAATATTTATATTTTTAGCTCAAAAAATGTATACGTGCAACATATATTGTGCACGGATAGATCGATAATATTTTTATGTAGCTTAAAGTATTGGACAGGTCATCATTCACTAGGCATACACACAATGCAGAATTGTCCTTCCGGGCATCGCCAAGTTTGGATCAATGGACTGTAAAGATACGATAGAAATCCGTGTTTTCTCTCAATGCCAAAACCCCAATGAAGTCTTTTGTGTTTTTATAACCGAAGGGGGACGTATTTAATATTCAAAATTTACATTGGTTATTGAGATGACTAAGAAGGATTAATAAAAAAAAGAGTTATCGCTCGACGTCCATCATATAACATGACTCTTGTATTTCGTAAATACAAATAGAAATTTGATTTATAAATTTTAAATTTTTAAAAAATTGTTGAATATTATTACACTTTAACTTAATGTTTGCCATAATAAGATGTGCTTTTATCATGCCGTTCTACTTAAAATATTTAGTACTACATGGTAAAAAAAAATTGTATCATAAAGGAGAGTTAAGAAAAGAAACAAATACGATTATTAATAATAGTATAAATTATTGACAAAAGTACAGGTAATTTTTACTTGAATATTTTTTTTATATATATGAATTATTCACCAAGCGTGCTCATCCCGCATTATCCCTTTAAAAATTAATTTATTTAAAATCTGATTTTTTTTAATTTTTAAGTAAACTTTGAGATCATAATATTTCCAAATGCTTGGATTTTTGTACACTTAAGGAGTGTTTTATATTCGAACCAACTTTTTTTTTTTTTTTAAATTGATATATCTAAATCGAAATTCAAATCAGTAGTTTTTAAGTTATTTAACTTTGTGTAGATCTAAAAGTTGATTTAGAATATATTGGGGCCCTGTTGATTAGAAAATGTTAGTAATTTATATGAATATATCAGCGTATATTGTAATGTGTAAAAATTGTCCTAGTAAAATAAATACTAGATCAAATTTTACATACATTTTTGTAAAAAGACTATTATCCTTA